TATGAGTACTGGAACCTCTTATAGAATATTAGCTGTGATATTAGTACCTTCACCTCTTATAGAATATCAGCTCTAATATGAGTACCGGCACCTCGTATATAATATTAGCTTGATTAGCAGCATCTATTGAATTTAGCTTGATATGAGTACGGTCACCTCTTATAGAATTTAGCTGTAATGAGTACTGGCACCTTTTATAGAATATTAGCTCTGATTGATGACCGGCACCTCTTATAGATTAGCTCTATATGAGTCGGCACCTTATGAATATTAGCTTGATATGGTACTGGCACCTTTATAATTTAGCTCTAATATAGATACTGGACTATTGTAGAATTAGCTGTGATATGAGTACTGGCACCTCTTATAGGATATTAGCTCTGATATGAGTACCGGCACCTCTTATAGAATAATAGCTAACATTTGAGGACCGGCACCTCTTATAGAATAATATGAGTACCGGCACCTCTTATAGATTATTAGCTCTAATATGAGTACTGGCACCTCTTATAGAATGTTAGATCTAATATGAGTACCGGCACCTCTTTTAGAGTAAAATGAGTACCTTCACCTCTTATATAATATAAGCTGTAATGATAGTCGACCTTTTAGATATGAGTACCGCACTCTCTAAAAATTAGCTCTAAATTGAGTACCACATCTTTTATAGAATATATTGATTGAGTACCGGCACCTTAATATTACTCTAATATGAGTACGGCACCCTTCAAATTTGTAATTATTATATAGTACTGCAACCTCCTATAATATCTAATGATACCGGCACGTCTTATATAATTTACTCTAATATGATACCCCCTCTTATATGAATATTAGCTCCTATACGAGTACCGGCACCTTACGAATTGTACTCTAATATGAGTACTGAACCTCTTATGATTATTCTCTAAGATATCCTTCACCTCTTATAGAATATTGCTCTAATGAAACGGCACTCTCTTAGAATATATAGTAACCTTGACCTCTTATAAATATTGCTCTAATATGAGTACCGGCACTCTTGTAGAATAATATGAGTACCGGCAACTCTTACAGATTATTAGCTTAATATGAGTACCGGCTCCTTTACAGAAATTACTCTAATATGAGTACCTTGCCTCTTATAGAATAGCACTATTTTGAGACAGGCACCTCTTATAATATTAGCTCTATGGTATCTTCACCTTATAGAAAATTTGCTCAATACTGTACGGGGACCTCTATAAATATTAGCTCTGATGACCGGCACTCTTATAGAATAATATGGTGCCTTCACCTCTATAAATATGAAACCGTCAGCTCTTAAGAATCTAATATGAGTACGGCACCTCTTTGAATATATCATATAGTACCAGCACCTCTTAATAATTATATGAGTACCTGCACCTCTTATAGAATAATAATTACCGCACCTCTTATAGAATATTAGCTCTAAAATACTATATGAGTACCTGCCCTCTTATAAATAATAGTTTACTCTAATAGTACCATACTCTTAAAAATGTACTTCTATATAGTATTGAACCTCTTTATAGAATATAGCTGTAGTACCGGCACTTATGATAATGAGCCTGCACCTCTTATATAATATTAGCTCTGATTATGATACACCGGCACCTCTTGTAGAATATAGCTTGTGAATATTGAGTAACTGGCTCTCTTATAAATTAGCTCTGATATGAGTTCGGCCACCCTTAAATATACATAATTTAGTACCGGCACCTCTTATAAATTTAGCTTGATATGGTACCGGCACCTCTTGTAGAATATTAGCTGTGATATGAGTACTGGCACCTCTTATAGAACATTAGCTGTGATATGAGTACTGGCACCTCTATAGAACATAGGCTTGGTATTATGGTGCCGTATCAACTTACAAATATGACTCATAACTGATAATGTCACCGGATACCTGCTTAGATAATTATGAAATATAGATACCGGCACCTCTTATAAATATTAGCTCTATACGAGAACCGGACCCTCTAAGATTACCTCTATATAGTACTGGAACCTTTAGAATATAGCTGTGATATTAGTACCTTCACCTCTTATAGAATATCAGCTCTAATATGAGTACCGGCACCTCGTATATAATATTAGCTCTGATATGAGTACCGGCACCTATTGTAGAATATTAGCTGTGTTATGAGTACTGGCACCTCTTATAGAATATTGTGTATGAGTCCTACCTTTAGAATATTATTGAGATTACCCGGCACCTCTTATAGATATTAGCTCTGTATGAGTACCGCACCTATGTAGAATATTAGCTTGATTGAGTACGAATCAACTCTTATAGACGATACTCTATAGAGTATGCCCTGATTGTATATTAGCTGTGATATGAGTACTGGCACCCTGTATAGAATATGTATTGTATGAGACCCCTATTCACCTCTAAATAATAGTAACATTTGAGTACCGCACTCTTATAATAATGAGTACCGCACCTCTATAGATTATTAGCTTAATAGATACGGCACCTCTTATAGAATGTTAGATCTAATGAGTACCTGGCACCCTTTTAAGAAGTAAATGATACCCTCACCTCTTATATAATTAGCCCGTAATAAGTACCGCACCCCTTATAGAATATTGAGTACCGGCACCTCCTATAAAATATTAGCTCTAATATGAGTACCAGCATCTTTTATAGAATATTAGCTCTGATATGAGTACCGGCACCTCTTATAGAATATTAGCTCTAATATGAGTACCGGCACCTCTTACAGAATTGTATCTCTAATATTAGTACTGGAACCTCCTATAGATAATTAGCTCTAATATGAGTACCACCGGCACGTTTATATAATATTAGCTCTAAAATTTAAATACCGGGACCTCTTTTAAGAAAATTAGCTCTAATACGGACCGGCACCTCTTACAGAATTGTACCTCTAATATGAGTACTGGAACCTCTTATAGATTATTAGCTCTAATATGAGTACCTTCACCTCTTATAGAATATTAGCTCTAATATGAGAACCGGCACCTCTTACAGAATAATATGAGTACCTTGACCTCTTATAGAATATTAGCTCTAATATGAGTACCGGCACTTCTTGTAGAATAATGAGTAGCCGGCAAATCTTACAGATTATAGACTCTAATATGAGTACCCCGGGACCTCTTACAGAATATTTGCCTAATTGAGTACCTTACCTCTTATAGATAATAGACTATTTTGAGCACAGGCCCTCTTATAGAAAATTGCTCTATGAGTATTCTTCAACCCCTTATAGAAAATTTGCTCTAATATGAGTACGGGGACCTCTTATAGAATATTAGCTCTGATATGAGAACCGGCACCTCTTATAGAATAATATGAGTGCCTTCACCTCTTATATCATAATATGAGAACCAGCACCTCTTATAGTAGCTCTATATATGAGTATGGCACCTCTTATAGAATAATCTGATTACTGGCTTCTCTTTTAGAATAATATGAGTACCGACCCATCTTATAGAATAATATGAGTACTGGCACTCTTATAGGATAATATGATACCGGCACCTCTTATCGAATCATATAGTACTGGCTTCTCTTATAGAAATAATAATATGAGTACCGCACTCTTATTAGATAACTGAGTACCGAACTCTTATAGAAAATATTAGTACCGGCAACTCTTATAGATAATATGAGTACCCGGCACCCTCTTATAGAATAATATGAGTACTGGCACCTCTTATAGGATAATATAGTCCCATGTAGCTCAGTTGGTAGAGCATGGCGTTTGCAACGCCAGGGTTGTGGGTTCAATTCCCATGGGGGGCCAGTATGAAAAATATAAAAAATATGTATGCACTCACTAACTGTAAGTCGCTCTGGATAAGAGCGTCTGCTAAATGACTAAAATGTAAATGTAAAAATATGAGTAGCCGGCACCTCTTATAGGATAATATGAGTACCGGCACCTCTTATAGAATAATATGAGTACTGGCTTCTCTTATAGAATAATATGAGTACCGGCACCTCTTATAGAATAATATGAGTACCGACACCTCTTATAGAATAATATGAGTACCGGCACCTCTTATAGGATAATATGAGTACCGGCACCTCTTATAGAGTAATATGAGTACTGGCTTCTCTTATAGAATAATATGAGTACCGGCACCTCTTATAGAATAATATGAGTACTGGCTTCTCTTATAGAATAATATGAGTACCGGCACCTCTTATAGAATAATATGAGTACCGGCACCTCTTATAGAATAATATGAGTACCGGCACGTCTTATAGGATAATATGAGTACCGGCACCTCTTATAGAATAATATGAGTACCTGGCACCTCTTAATGAATAATGACGTTTTCTTAAACGGTTTGTCTGCACCTTTTTTATTCCACTTCAAGCGTAGCCGAACCACTAATGAAATACAGGACGCGTCCCAAAGTAGCACCCTATTCTCTATACAGTGCACTACTTTTCACTAGAGCCCTCATGGACCGTGGGAAAAGTAGTGCACTATAAAGGGAACAGGGTGCCATTTTGGACGCATTCTCAATGAATATCTACAGATTATACAACCATAAAAAAGAGCACTGAACTCTTCAACCTTGGAGTAGTCCTGCACGAAAACATACAAAAGGCTCAAAGATTTAAAAAAAATCAATTAGTAAAAGGTTTAGCATTAGAGAGATGCTGAATGTCTGTTGGTCACAGCCTGGCATTTAATCAACGATCATCGAAAGACTCAAACTTATATTAGGAGTATTGTTAAAACATAATTAACAAATATACTGTAGTAAAATCTAGTCTCTATTAAAAAAATACTGATAGAAATGTACATATGAAATGTACACATAAAACTGTACATGAGCCTGCAATATAATAAGAATGAACAGGAACTACAACACAAAACGTAACATTTGTATCCCCTTAGTTGGCTTTGATCTGTAGAGAACTTCTCCCTCCATTATGGTTCTGTGGTTCTATGATTCCATGTTTCCGTGGTTCTATGGTTCCGTGGTTCTATTACAGTTCTGTGGTTCTAGTACACTGGGGTGGCGTTGCGGATCCCACAGCAGAGAACCATGGTGAAGATCATCTCAAAGATCTACAGTGGGAGAAGAAGAGGAAGGCCTTTAAAAAAAAATCAAGAATTCAACATCTGTCTGCACTCAGTCAGGACAGCAGAGGTCAGGAGAACCTTTCTGTCTGTGCAGATAGCAACTGTCAAAGGCTTCCAAAGTTGTGTTTACTGTAGCGCGGTGGATTACAGAATATAACAGAAAAGCGATCCAACTGCGGTCCAGGACAGTCTCCACGGTAACACTACTCACCATGATGACAGCGACCACCAGGGCAGCTAGACCAATCAGGCAGAGCTTCTCAGCGAACAGTTCCTTCAGCTTCAGATGACAGCTCTAGTGGGAGGGGAACATAGTGATGGGATTAAGGGACCAACATTTAAACTGTTGCCCCCCCCCCCCCCCCGTCCGTCCGTCCGCCCCCCCCCCCCCCCCCGTCCGTCATACCAATGTGCTGTGTAAAGCATTCATTGAAATAGTACGTAGAGATTTACAGTAATAATGATTATGATTCCCTCCCAGGGGAGAAAGCTGTTTTGGGTCGTCAATTTTTTAGCCAATCCAAATATTCCAAAACATCCATTTGAACTATTTCACTGAATATCAAAACATTGGAAAGGGAAAGGGGGGATACCTCGTCAGTTGCACAACTGAATGCGTTCAACCTAAATGTGTCTTCCATATTTAACCCAACCCCTTACGAATCATTGGACATTGACCTGGGGGAACAACGCGATGTGTGAACTGTACCTGTGGTTTCAACAAGGCATCGTCCAGGGTCTTCTTGGGACACAGGGCTCCGGCTACTTGTTTGAATAAGGGGGAATCATCTCCTTTACCACAGCAGTCCAGCTGAGGACACAGGTAGAGACATCCGGTCAGTCATGCCATTGATTGATTAATTGATTGATTGATTAATTGATTGACATTTCTCTCCCCCAGACCTCCCTCAGTTCTATAGAACCATCACAGTACAACTATTACATTGAGGAGAATATATTTTATATTGTTCCAAAAATTTGACCACGGTTATCATGAAATAACTCTGAAATAATATAATGTGCATCTTTTTCCCCTCAACAATAACAGATACATTTTCAACATTGGCTGCATTTACTCCAGCAGCCCAATTCTGATTATTCTTTCCCCCACTAATTGGTCTTTTGACCAATCACATCAGATCTTTTCAGACAAGCTCTTTTTCACAGCTGATCTGATTGGTTCAATTGACCAATTAATGGAGAAAAAAAAAGATGTAAACGCAGCCAATTATGATCACAGGATCGACAAGAATAGCTACTGCTTTATGATCACATTACTACATTATTTTATGATCACATTACTACATTATGCTACACTCCATTTAACAGATTGATACGATGATGAAATAACCCAGAGGTGAGAGGGATGACGTACAGTCTCATGGAACACCTCCAGGACTTTGATAGCAGCTGTTTTGGTGGGAGAGTCTACGACATCCACTGACTTTATGTAAGCCACATCATAGAAGTTAATCATCTCCTTGGAGATCTGGAACGAACAAAGATAGCAAAGCTGGTAAAGTCGATGTGTGTGTGTGTGTGTGTGTGTGTGTGTGCATGTGTGTGCGCGTGTGTGTGCGTGTGTCTTACTGTGTCTCGGTTACTGAATCCCCAGATCCCAGCAGCCACCTCACAGGCGAAGAGGCACACCAGCATGAAGAAGAACTGAAAGAGAGATGAATTTGTCAAGCTTTAAACATGGGGATAAGTGTCATCTCAGGGCTTTACCTAACTGAAGGCCAAAACTTGATCTTCCACAAAAAAGGATTGTTCTCTGAGAAAGAGAGAACTGGAGGGTTTGTTATTGAGAGATGGGCCCAGAGATTTGAAAGGCTGTGTTACTCTCCTGTGTGTTGAACGGCTGTGTTACTGAGAGAGAGAGCGCTGTAGGGCAGTGTTACTGAGAAAGAGAGCGGTGTTACACAGACACAGAGAGACACAGAGAGACACAGAGAGACACAGAGAGACACAGAGAGACACAGAGAGACACAGAGAGACACAGAGAGACACATAGATGGCTGTGCTACTGAAAGGGAAAGCTGTAAGGATGTGGTACTCTCCCGTGTTGAGAGGTCTGTCAATATTGCTGTCCATCTAGGATCGCTGCACTACGGCTGACCCTGTGCCTCTCAACATGTGTGTATATCTGGATGTTTTAATAAAGGCAAAAGACACATTTAACGTTCTAACCAATGGATAACAAAATATATATTCCATTCCTGAGAGAGAGAGCGCTATAGGGCCGTGCTACTCTCCAATGTTGGAGCGTATGCCCTTAGAGACGCGGTGTGTTTGCTGCCCTCTAGTGGTCACTCACTCACCGTTCCCAGGAGACACTGAGATTCCTGGATGGCACCATAGCAACCAAGGAACCCTACAAACATCATCACAGCTCCCACCGCTATCAGGATGTACACACCTAGAGAAGAAGATACAACTCCATTGGTCCCACAGTGAAAAAAGCTTAAATTAATCTGCTTGGTCTGCCCTCATATTGAGCCTCGCGTTGACGTGTTTTGCCATTTTCTTTTCAGGACAACCTAGTAGAATTAAACCATTTGACATAAACAGTTGGATTCATGAGTGTTATTGACAAATGTCAATAAACAAATAAGGTCCAGCAAGCAAAAATCTGATAAAAAATCGAATCCAATAAAGTAAAATGTTATTGGTCGCATACACATACTGTATTTAGCAGATGTTATTGCGGTTGGAGCGAAATGCTTGTGTTCCTAGCTCCAATCGTGCAGTAGTTTCTAACAATTCACAACAATACACACAAATCTAAATGTAAAATAATGGAATGAAGAAATATAGAAATATTAGGACAAGCAATGTCGGAGTATATATATACACACTACAGTTCAAAAGTTTGGGGTCACTTCGAGATTTCCTTGTTTTCGAAAGAAAATGAACAAAAAAATAATTAAAATAACATCAAATTGATCAGAAATACATTGTTAATGTTGTAAATGGCTGTTGTAGCTGGAAATGGCTGATTTTTAATGGAATATCTACATAGGCGTACAGAGGCCCATTATCAGCAACCATCAGTCCTGTGTTCCAATGGCACGTTGTGTTTGCTAATCCAAGTTTATCATTTTAAAAGTCTAATTGATCATTAGAAAACCCTTTTGCAACTATGTTAGCACAGCTGAAAATATCAAAATTACTGATATTTAATCCCAGTAAAAATTGCTTGTTTTACTGTGGATATAGATACTTTTGTATATGTTTCCTCCTTTGCTGTTGTTCTGGGATTGATTTGCACTTTTCGCACCAAAGTACGTTCATCTCTAGGAGACAGAATGTGTCTCCTTCCTGAGCGGTATGGCGGCCTGCGTGGTCCCATGGTGTTTATACTTGCGTACTGTTGTTTGTACAGATGAACGTGGTACCTTCAGGCGTTTGGAAATTGCTCCCAAGGATGAACCAGACTTGTGGAGGTCTACAATATTTTTTCTGAGGTCTTGGCTGATTTCTTTTGATGTCAAGCAAAGAGGCACAGAGTTTGAAGGTAGGCCTTGAAATACATCCACAGGTACACCTCCAAATGACTCAAATTATGTCAATTAGCCTATCAGAAGCTTCTAAAGCCATGACATCAATTTCTGGGATTATCCAAGCTGTTTAAAGGCACAGTCAACTTAGTGTATGTAAACTTCTGACCCACTGGAATTGCGATACAGTGAATTATAAGTGAAATCATCTGTCTGTAAACAATTGTTGGAAAAATGACTTGTGTCATGCACAAAGTAGATGTCCTAACCGACTTGCCAAAACTATAGTTTGTTAACAAGAAAGTGGTGGAGTGGTTGAAAAACGAGTTTTAATGACTCCAACCTAAGTGTGTGTAAACTTCTGACTTCAACTGTATATGTGTGTGATGGGATGTATAGGCCTTATGGACAGTATGGGGATAGAATATGTAGTATATCTGAAGAATACGTAGGACAGAATAGCATACGTACAGCAATAGTTTAAACATTATTAAAGTGACCAGTGATTCCATGTCTATGTACATAGGGCAGCAGCCTCTAAGGTGCAGGGTTGAGTAACCGGGTGGTAGCTGGCTAGTGACAGTGACTAAAATTGGGGAAAATTCCCTTTAAAAGGCGCATTGTCTGCAGTCTAGTGTTCTGCTCTGTACACACATTGGATTGAATCTTGGTTTATGTGGGAAACACCACCAGGTGGCAGTATGATAAGTCCGTATGATAAGTCAGTATGATAACCCCCACAGAAACCAACTATTGTAACAGAGTTCTTGGTCTTTTTCCTGGTGGTGTCCCTGTCCAAAGATATGACATGTGAGACGAAGAGGGCATCCTGTAACATCCTTTTACTGGGACAGGAAGACTTTCCAGATCCATCCTGACTGAGAGGGAGGAGGAATCACACACACATACACGCATACACATTACACACATACACACAAACGAATACACACACATACTGACAGCGACGTGGACCCAGGCAGGAAATGCCTCCCTCCCCTCTGCCCACAAACGATAGGGTTTAATATTTTCCCAAAATTCCTCTGGTCCTCTGTAGCTCAGTTGGTAGAGCATGGCGCTTGCAACCCAGGATTGTGGGTTCGATTACCACGGGGGACCAGTATGAAAATGTATGCACTCACTAACTGTAAGTCGCTAAATGACTAAAATGTAAATGTAGTTGGTATGACATGGTCCTCTGTAGTTCAGTTGGTAGAACATGGTCCTCTGTAGTTCAGTTGGTAGAACATGGTCCTCTGTAGTTCAGTTGGTAGAACATGGTCCTCTGTAGTTCAGTTGGTAGAACATGGTCCTCTGTAGTTCAGTTGGTAGAACATGGTCCTCTGTAGTTCAGTTGGTAGAACATGGTCCTCTGTAGTTCAGTTGGTAGAACATGGTCCTCTGTAGTTCAGTTGGTAGAACATGGTCCTCTGTAGTTCAGACAAACACACACACACTCCTAATCCACCCTGACAGAGCAGTCTAAAGACACTGTGAAAAGCTCTGAGTCTTCTATAACCCCTCTAACACAGGGTTGGGCAATCATTTTGGGATCGAGTGCCGCATCGGAATTCTCAAAATTCAGTGGAGGGGCCGCACAGATTTGTTTGGGACTGCTTTTTTAGTTCATTGTTTAGCTAGCTAGCTACATGTCTTAACAAACGACTCCACTATGCAAGTATCCATTTCAGTAGGGCGAGTAAAATGGTCAGATAATCATCTCAGGGGCCTACCGAGTGGTGCAGTGGTCTAAGGCACTGCATCACAGTGCTTGAGGCGTCACTACAGACCTGGGTTCGATCCCAGGCTGTGTCACAACCGGCAGTGACCGGGAGACCAGTGAGGCACACAATTGGCCCAGCGTCGTCCGGGTTAGGGGAGGGTTTGGCCAGGGGGGCTTTACTTGGCTCATAGCGTTTTAGCGACTACTTGTGGCGGGCCGGGCGCCTGCAGGCTGACTTCGGTCGTCAGTTGAACGGTGTTTCCTTCGCATAGTGGTGCAGCTGGCTTCCAGGTTAAGTGGGCGGGTGTTAAGGAGTGTGGTTTGGCGGGTCATGTTTCGGAGGACGCATGACTCAACCTTCGCCTCTCCTGAGCCCGTTGGGAAGTTGCAGCGATGAGACAATATCGTAATCAGAATTTAATTGAAATTGTGAGAAAAAAAAGGCGCTAAAAATATATATATTTCAGAATAATTATTGTTACCCAGCCCTGCTCTAACATCTCTCTTTTCGTCTGTCTGTCTGTCTGTCTGTCTGTCTGTCTGTCTGTCTGTCTGTCTGTCTGTCTGTCTGTCTGTCTGTCTGTCTGTCTGTCTGTCTGTCCTGTCTGTCTGTCTGTCTGTCTGTCTGTCTGTCTGTTTCTCTCTCTCTCTCTCCTCTCTCTCTCTCCTCTCCTCCTCTCTCTCTCTCTCTCTCTCTCTCTCCTCCTCTCTCTCTCGTCCTCTCTCCGCTCTCTCTCTCCTCTCTCTTTCTCTTTCTTCTGCTTTCTCTTTCTCTCTCTCCCTTTCTCTCACCACCCTCCCAGTGACCCTAGGGCCCTCTCCATTTGTCCGTCTCTCTCTTCCAGGCGTTTCTGTTTCTGTTGTGCTGGCAGGGAGTAGGGACTAAGCTTTTCTCTATGTAGTGCTCTTTTAACCAGAGCCCAGGGGGTTGAAGTCAAAAGTAGTGCACTATATAGTGAATAGGGTGCCATTTGGGACTCAGCCAAGGAGCAGCATTCCCCTCCATCACTATAACAACAACCCTTTAAGCTCTGACAGGGTATAGAGAGCTGAAGGGAGAGGGTCTGAATACGGTGTCGTTTGGGACGCATCCAGGGACTAGGTTAAACCACCAGGGAAGTGTATTTATTTATAGCTTCTCCGGTTGGCAAACATCAGCTAAAACCCTCCATTTGGATAGAGATCCCAAAAATGGAGTTCCCTCTAATTCCCACAGTTCTGACAGTTTAAAGACGACTACGTTATTGACCCAGATACTCCACATCAGAGTCCTCTATAGTTACGGGAACATAAAGTTATATATGGGATATGTAGAATTATACGTGGCTCTTACATAAGTCTTATACAGTATGTGGCTCTTATATAATTCTTAGAATGATATTAGTTAAGGGTCTAGTCCATATCCAAGTTTGACTTCATAATCATTGAGTTGAGAAAAACCCAATAATGTTTCAATGTATCTTTAATGCACCATCAATGATAGCCCTTAAATTATGCTAATAGTTAAAAATCCTATTGTTTTTGGCTGATGATCGGGATGGCTGTAAATATAGACATAGGTGACGAGGGAGGATGACAGGTGACTAGAGGGAGGATGACAGGTGACAAGAGGGAGGATGACAGTTGACAAGAGGGAGGATGACAGGTGACAAGAGGGAGGATGACAGGTGATGAGAGGGAGGATGACAGGTGACAAGAGGGATGATGACAGTTTGAACGAGAGGGAGGAGGACAGGTGACACAGAACGGAGGAGACAGGTGACAAGAGGAGGATGACAGTTGACAAGAGGGAGGATGACAGGTGACAAGAGGGAGGATGACAGGTGACAAAGGGAGGATGACAGGTGACAAGAGGGAGGATGACAGGTGACGAGAGGGAGGATGACAGGTGACAAGAGGGAGGATGACAGGTGACAAGAGGAAGGATGACAGGTGACAAGAGTGAGGATGACAGGTGACAAGAGGGAGGATGACAGGTGACAAGAGGGAGGATGACAGGTGACAAGAGGGAGGATGACAGGTGACAAAGGGAGGATGACAGGTGACAAGAGGGAGGATGACAGGTGATGAGAGGGAGGATACAGGTGACAAAGAGGGGGGATGACAGTGACGAGGGGGGAACAGGTGAAAAGGGAGGAACGTGGGGCAAGGGAAGGATGACAGG